GTCCCTGGCCTGCTGAGTGCCCGCCGCCGCCCCGCCCGCCGCCGCCGCCGACGATGACGACCCCTTGCCATTCGCCGACACGCCGCCAGCGCCGCCGCTGCCGCTGCTGCTGGTGCTGCTGCTACTGGCTTTCCCGTTGCTGCCGCCGCCTGCGGCTGCCTTGCCTGCCGCGCCGCCCCCGCTCCCGCCGCCGCCCGCACCATCCTTGCCGCTGCTTGCCGCCTTGGCCTCTTTCAATCCGCCCTTCCCATCCCCGCCGCTGCTGCCGCCGCCGCTCCCTCTTCCGTCCGAGCCGCCGCCGCTGCTGCTGCCGCCGCCGCCGCCGCCGCTCGGTACGTCGATCGACTGGCTCGACGCGTTGACCACCACAGTGTTGGCCGGCACCGGCGACGCGATGACGTCGACGGTCGTCAGCGGCAGCATCTTGTAGCTGGCGGCGGCGGCCGCGCCCGTGTAGATGCCGGCGAGGGCCGGTGCCATTGACTCATCGATCTCCAGCTGCAGGGTGTAGAGACGGGGCGTTTTGCAGGGTTTTGGGAGATGTTGGGAGGGGACGGGCGTGGGGAAGAGGGCTCACAGGGAGCCGCTCTACATGATCTTCCCTGTGTCGATTCTGTTTTGCAAATGGCTGCCGCGCTTCCACAGCGCGGGCGCGGAGCGAGCAGCCACGGGCGGCTGGGCATCGCGGCGCTGCGCTGCGCGGCGCGGGATGGCTCGGCGTGGGCGCGGCGCTGCGCACCACTGCGCGCGGCGTGGCGAGCTTTGCGCCGTTGCGCTCGACGCAGTCCACGAAGGCGAGCAGCAGGTCCTGCTTCACGGCCATGAACGCGTCACTGGGGCAGCGGTTGGCGGTTGGCAGTTGGTGTGGCGGTTGGATTGCCGGGTCGGGTGGTTGGGGTGGCGGTATTGGTGGTGGTGGTTGTGGTGGTGGTGGTGGCGGTGGCGGCGGTGATGGTGGTGGTGGTCGTCGTCGCGGCGCGTTGGGTTGCAGGCGGGCCAAGAGGTGGGGGCGCGCCAGGATCACATCACAGGGCTCAGGGCTACCGCCCCGCACGTCGCCCCATGGCCGGGGGATGGGCAGGCGGCGCGCCTGAGGACGCGCCTGCGATGCGCCTGAGGACGCGCCTGCGGTGTGCTCGTCCGCAGGCCTGTCATTCACGCACGCGCACGCCTGCCCAGGCGCACCCACTCGCGCATCCACAGCGCGCACTCCTCCCAAAACACACACACACACACACACACACACACACACACACTCTCTCTCTCTCTCTTCCCCCAATACACACACACGCACACGCACGCATGCACACGCACACGCACGCACACACACACACACACACACACGCACG